GGGGGGGGTCTTTGAGGGAGGGGAATGGCTGCAGAAGGGAGCAGCTTGTTCCTATCCGGAGCAGAAGGGAGCAGCTGGCCTCCTATGGGTTGGGGAAGCTGCTGCCCCTATAGGGGCAGGTTCCTGTATACGATGTATGGATGGAGGAGGTGGCTGTCCCTGGGCTGAGTCTGGGAAGGGGGCAGAAGAGGGACGCTCCTCTTCCCTGATTCTCCCTATGGGTGGTGGGGATGATGAGGCTGCCCCATCCTTCCCTACTCCCTGCCCCTCATTTCTCCCTCCCTTATGGGGTGAGGGTAATGTTGGGTCTCGTGCTCCACCTTCCCTCTCTCTAGCTCTCCTAGATAGGTGGGGATCAGTGGGGGGAATAAATATTACCTGCTTTCCCTACGTCCCCTATGGGGGGGAGGATGAAGGAGGCTAGCAGTGGCCGCCTGATGCCCCCATCCCCATATCTCTGGAAGGGTTAGAGATGGGGGAGGCCCATCTGAATGTTCTCCTTGTCCTTTGGGAAGGAGGGGGAGATAGGGGCCACATTCACCTTTCCAAGGAGGTGGCAGTGATGGGGGGCAGGTACTCCTTTGTGCCGTTTTGTTTAATGGGGGTGTCTTGGGTACCTGACCCTTCAGTGTCAAAGTAGCTTTATCTGGCTTGAGTGAAGCTCCCTCACTTCTTGATTGTCATAGTCTGGAGTTCCCTTCTTTGTCCCATTCTTGGTTTGTTTTTGTGTCATTAAGAGGGACTGGGGCTTAAGGAGCATGAAATATCAAATCAGTTGAGCTTCTCCATTGCAAGGCTGCCTTTGTTCAGAATCACTTATGCTCTTAGTTGTCTAAAGCTTTACCTCCTTGGAGACTTGCCATTGCAACTGTGCCATGAAGGTGTAGAAACTTGGAATCCTAGCTGCTCCTTAGTGAGGAAGAGAGAGCTCTCTGAGGAGGACTCAAACTGGAGATTTGCTGTTCCCTCCCAAAAAGAAATAATTTTTCAGATTCAAGTACTCGGTAGACGCCTTTACCATACAATATATCGATACAGGCATGGTTATAGTCCTGTCCTTGTGGTATTCTTAGCTGATAATGAAGGGGACCTCTCCATGTCAGCTTATATAAAACATACCATGATGCATGTATGTGCTGTGACTTCTGAAATCTGCAGAGTTTTTTATGAAATTTGCATAGTGAATATTAAATGGTTGGAGTTCCTACTGCTGCTGCTGCCTTATACCTGCACTTCAGTTGCATGCAGTGACTCTTTTTGTAGAGCTCTTTGATGATAAAAATCAGGTCAAACTGGTCATTGGTCTATGACTTCACGTAATTTGCTATTCTGTCAAGAGGGGAGAGATGTAAAATCATGTGGCTTGTTGGAGAATGTGTGGGAGGAAAAGGAAGCTGGCTTTTATCCAAAAGAAAGTATATAATTTCTGATTGGGACGTAAGATAATTTTCTAGCTAAGTTTTTAAAGGCTGAAAATATGGTGAGAATTATCCTAAGTTCCTTTTTTATTTTGATCTTTCAGAATCATCATTGTAGAATTGCCTTAATCTTGGATTAGCAGTGAGCCTGTGAAGCTCCTTTGAGGTGGTCTGCCACTACTCCCCTCCCACTCCCCCCCCCCCCCCCCCCCGATATCTTTGAGTTTTCCATATGTAAGAATCTCGTGTTATCCTTATTGAACAGTGGAGTTCATATTCCTTATCTTATTAATGTTAATATTTTAACACCTATTTGATGCATAGCAAAAATGTCACCAAATTTTGACCTGTCTTTAGTTTTGACTCTAAGCTATACAGGGCAGAAACTATATCCTACTGTGTGTGGGGGGGGGAAGTCCCTAGGATATCTTGGTTGCTATTGAAATATTACTACTGATTCACTTCCAGAAGCACCCACAATGTGCTTGTTGCTTTAATAAAAAAAAAAAAGGTATTATCCCTGTCTTAAGGAGCTCACAATCTTAATAATTCATACTGGGTTTGTTCCAGACACTAAAAATATAACTAATCTAAAATCCTATTTTTAATATAGGAAAATAAAAGGAAAGATACTAAACATATTGAGTAAAAGGCTGCTTAATCGCCTTACAGTGCAAAATAACCTTTTACATAAATAATCTCTGCAGTTGTTTAAATCAAATCACAGAATTATAGGGTTTTTTACAGCAAGAATGAGTAAAATTATGTGCATGTGTAAACTTTGCAGGATCAGGCTATAAGATAATAGCTCCTGTTATCACTGAAATAAATTATCCTGGAGGAGAAAATTGGTTATGTTGGCACAAATAACTTCAGCCGCAATGAAATGAAGGCAAAACCAATGTTTTGTTGTTGTCATAGATTTAGCCTCTAACTAATTAAGAAGTTTTATTGGACACAAGGGTGCCTCGTCACATTTCTCTTTTGGCCTCTCCTTCTCAGTGCTGATAAGTATTAATGGTTTTCTCTTCTTTATTTATCAGCTTCCAGTTTGTAAATCAGATAATCTATATGGCATTCTCCAATACTGTTGTCTGTGATGGAGCCAGATCAGAGAACTGATGTGTTAAAAGCAAAAGTTGTAACTTTGTAGAAGACTGTGCTCTTCAAAAAGCTGTAGGCAGAACAGGGAAAAATATTTGCCTGTTTTTATCTTTAATTTTGGCTTTTCATATAGTCCCATCTTATAAAAAGACTTAGTGGAATATGAAATGCCTTTAATGTTACATTAAATTGAGCTGTTCAATAAAACCCGCCTGTCTTATTCCCTTTTAGGTAGGATATAATGTTTACTGCTGTCACTTGATTTTTTTTCTTTTTCTTCAGAATAACTGCACCGAACAAACATTCAAAGTAACAGTTGGATTAAAATATAAAAAGCAGTTCCGGGAACACAAAGATGCAGTATCAGTGACTTAAATTCTAGACTGTAGTAGGGAATCTGTCTGATTGTCTTCCTTGTGTTGCCTGTTACCTTTAGCATGGCAACAAATCAATACAAGGGATTTTACCCTGTTTAATTTTTGTAGTGGCTGATAAATGTATCAGAAAATTAAGTATTTTGGAACCATGTAAATATATTCTAGGAAAGATTATGCTAAATTGTTTCCACATAAATGAGTAGACAGCTAATCACTTACATATTTGCATGTTCAGGTGAAACATGATGCTGGCTGAAAAGAATATTGATGTAATAAAACAGATTAGTTCTGCTGGCATTCGTTATTTTTTCCATTGGATTTGTTTTGGAGCTCTTAATGTAAGTTTTTATTCTGGTGTAAGAGGACAGGGCCACAAGAAGTCACTGGCTTTGCAGATGTTGGAGATACTAATGTAATGAGTTATACTTTACAACTAACTACCTGTTCAGAAGCATCTTTATACCATATTATATTGGTATAACTGCTAATCAGAAACTATAAACTAAGAAGTCTATTGCTTCTCTATTCCTCGTTATATGTAACTGTGCTAATGGGGGGCTTTTAACATAGGTTATATAGTCCCCACTAGATGTTCCTACAGGTGTGCTATCCCTTCTGTTGACAACCAACAAGGCTACTAGTTCAGTAGGTTTTACATTCTAACCTCAAATTTTATAACTGAACTGGTATGCAAATCTCAGGATGCTCAGGTAATAGTTTGTAAATCTTACCATGTATTCATCTTTTTTTCTCGCATAAGCAAATGTATGGTAGGTCAAACAGCGTGTGCTGCAAACGAAAAGATTTCCCAGCCATGAGCTCTGTCATAACGATCGCTTAGATTAGAAAAATAGGGATGCAAATCGGAAAATAAGGCAACCTACACCTGCTAAAAACAAAGTATAGCTGAACCCCACAAATCCACATTTAAAATGGTCTCTTGGATTTAGTTTTTATTCTAGCACAGAGAAATGAGATTTCACTGCTGTGCTGGGTACAGGGCGAGTGTGAGTTTCTTGATGTACCAGCTTCCTATCTTCTCAATAATGCCTTGAAGTCTTTCCCCATCACTTTCTAGTTTGCAGACATTACCACTCCCATTGGTGGTCCTCCTGCTAGTGCAGGTTATTGAGGTCCTTCTGTATATTTGTTAGATGTTGTCTCGTTGCCTCTAAAAAACTTGACATACTTGCCAAAACTTAAAATCTGGCAGTCTACAATGGGTGTCTACTTCACTGTTGTGGAATGAAGATTCTGCTGGTGGTGGTTGAAGAATGTTAGGATAGCTGAAATACTTCTGTTGCATGCAACACCAGTGTACTGTGAGTGCTGACTATTATCCACATGGATTTGTGGGCTGCTGATTCATGTTAGGTAAATACTTGCATAGAACCAGTCTTCTAATGGTTTAAATTGTAGTTCATTATTATACCTCTTTGGTAACAGTCACCAGATCTCTCCTGTCTGCAGAGTGTATCATAGGGGAGTATAGGGTTTTTTTAAAACGCCGTCTCTTTTCCCCTGTAATTTCTATAGAGTGTAAGTAATCTTCGGGGGAAATTTTCCGGGGACAAAAACTTGCTTTTTATGTATTACTCAGAATTTGCCAAACAATAACATTATTATTATGAAGTAGCTACTATGATGTCTGTGCAGCTTTTGTTATCAAATAGTGTGGGTGCTTTACAGAGCAACCCTTTAGCTGGTTGTAGCAATAATATTTACTCTCTACATTCACTTGTATATGTGATGGAACTATATAAATCACATTGATTATTCAGTTTGTTGCCCTCCACTGTTAGTACAAAAGAGTAAAGCAAAGCCCATCCACCTTCTGATAGTTTGACTATTTTCATAAATAAGTTTATTGAAAACGTATTTATAATTGAAAAATCGAGTTATGTAAAAAGCTTTACCTGGTGAGTTTGGGGGACTAAACTATACATTTTAGCAAAATGTAAGGTTT